CTCTGGGAGCTCTACTACGGCGGCTGGGTCGCGCCCAACATCTACTTCCTCGGGTACGCGGGCGTGGTGTCGGTGGGAGGCGTCCGCATCGGAGGGCTGAGCGGCATCTACAACGGGCGCCACTACCACACCGGCCACTGCGAGGCGCCTCCCTACTCCGACTCGGACATGCGGTCCGCGTACCACGTCAGAGAGATCGAGGCGCCGCACACCACCACCTCGCACACCACTCTCCCGCGACCGGCCCCCAACCCCACGCCTCTCCCGCACGCCCTCCCCTCCCACCGCCGCCCCTCCCCTCCGCACTCCCACCCCCGCCCGCCCAAAGGTGCTCCGGCTGCTCCAGCTCCGCCAGCCGATGGACGTCTTCCTCTCGCACGACTGGCCCGCCCACATCGCCACGATGGGCGACACAAACGCGCTGCTCCGCAAAAAGTCCTTTCTGCGCGACGAGGTGAGGGACGGCTCCCTCGGCTCTCCCGCCGGCGAGCAGCCCCTAGAGCGCCCAAGGCGGTCGTGCCGGGGCCTCCCTCCCAAGCTGCTCGGACCCTTCCTGCAGGCGAGCAGCTGCTCAAGCACCTCAAGCCCGACTACTGGTTCGCGGCGCACCTGCACGTCAAGTTCGCGGCGGTGGTGCAGCACGCCGCCGGAGCGAGCGCCACTCGCTTCCTCTCCCTCGACAAGTGCCTCCCGCAGCGCGACTTTATGCAGGCCTCGCACCGACCCCCTGAACCCCGACCCCTCTCGCCCTCGCACCTCTCGCCCTCGCCCCCCCAACCCTGTGCCCCCGGGCTGCTCAGCGCCCGCCGCCGCCCTCCGCAGCTGATCACCGTCGATGGCGACGGCTCGCCCCCCGTGCTGCGCTACGACGCCGAGTGGATCGCGGTCCTCCGCTCGACGGCGAGATCTCGCCGAGACCTCGCCGAGATGTCGCCTCCTCGTGATTGCGTGTCCCTTTGCGACAGGCGCACCTCTTCTCGAACCGGCGCGGCCGCGTGCCTCTCGACCCGCAGGCGGCCTCATTCCTGTCAGATTCTCTCGCCATGGCACTGCTACAGATCACCGCGTGCCTCTCGACCCGCAGGCGGTCGGTAGAGCGAGCGGCGGCCGCGCCGACTTTGGGCCGAGCGAGGAGGAGCTCAGCAGCGTGCTCGAGGCGGCCGGCGGAGACTTGGCGGTGCCGCTCGACTTTGCGGTCACCGCGCCGCCGTACCAGCACGGCGACCCGCCGGCGGCGCAGCCGCACTTTGCGGAGAGCCCGCAGACGGCGGCGTTCGCGCGCACTTTTGGGTTGCCCGCCGAGTTCCGCTCGCAGGCGGGCGGCACGTCCGGCCCGGCGGTCCGGGACGGGAGGGGGCTGCACGGCGTGGACGGCGGGCTCTGCCTGCCCGTGCCTCCGCCGCCGCCGACCACGGCGGCCGACGGGGTCTTTGCGCCGCTTCCGGTGGACGAGGAGATTGACCTCGGGGACGACTGACTTCTGCATGGTAGCATGGAGGGTGGAGGATCGGGTTTGAGGCCTCGCTGACCGCGGCCGAGCCGCAATTCGTACGTTTCTCAGTGTTCCTACTTTTCACTACACACTCTTGCACTTTTCAGCCCTGCTGTTGAACATCTTATAGCTTGTACTCGAATACTGCCTGTGTGGTAAACAAATACTCACACGACTCGGCCGGACGGCGCGACGGAGCTCGCACGGTCTCCACGGTGCACGGAGGGGTGGTGCGGAGATATATCTCGGCGCGGCTCACGGCTCGGACCGCCACGGCGAGAGAGCTTTGGCGTGTGTACGACGCACAGAGGCACGAGAGAGAGAGAGAGAGAGAGAGAGAGAGAGAGAGAGAGAGAGAGAGAGAGAGAGAGAGAGAGAGAGAGAGATGAGAGAGAGATGAGAGACAGACAGAGGCCATTGATGCATTTGACAAGTTGTGCGAGGTAGTGGTGTGGTCAGAATGGAGCTGCTCGTGGCTTCTCGTATCTGACCGCCTCGACGACAATCGACACTGAAGGCAAAGTCAAATAATGTTCTTCGCTGACGGCTCAGCGGAGTCGGTGTCAGCAGAGTCGGCCTTGGAGTCGGCATTCTCACCGTCGCGCGCGGCACCGCTCACGCTCGCGGCGCCGTCAGCCTGACTGAGCCAGCGGCCGCCGTGGTGGTGCCCCTCGTCGTACGAGTCGTCGTCATCGTCATCGTCGTGGTGGTGGCCGTACGATGAGCTGCCAGACCACTCCTCGTAGACCGGCTGCCCGTAGTGGCTGTGATCAAAGGAACCGGCGCCGCCGGTGGTCCACTCCTCGGTGATCTCCTCGTAGACCAGCCCGTTTCCAGAGTTGCGATCAGACACGTACGAGTCGCAGCTTTGCCGCCCGCCTTGGCGCCATTGGCCGTAGCAGCAGGTGAAGCCCTGATCGCCGCTCAGGAGCGAGCCGATGTCCGTGCCACCGGGCGCGTCGGGCGGGCAGAACTGTCCTTGGACGCTGCAGTCGTAGCCGCGGCAGGAGGTCGCGTCAGGAGGCCCGAACGAGTCCACGCCGCCATAGTAGCTGCCGCTCGAGGGCGCGTGGTAGTGGACGTGGTAGTTGCTCCTCTTCTCCGCCGGGGCCTCGACAGGGCGGGCGTCCGTGTCGCTCTCCTTGTTCTCTGCTTCCTCTGCGCCAAGGCTGCGGCCGCCGTGAGCGTGGTAGTACTCGTTCGAATCCTGGTGGGTCGAGCCATAGTTCGAGTGGTAGTGGTCGTGGTAGTGGTCGTCATGGTAGTCGTGGTGGTCGTTCTCCTGCCGTTCAGGCTTGCTGTCGTGCATCTCGTCGATCAGCTCGTGCGCCTCGTGGTGAAGCATATCGATCGCGCCCTCCTTGTCGCCGACGGCGCCGAGCATCACGGCGCCGAGCAGGTGGCCGTCGCCCAGGGACTTCTCGTCGGGCACGGCGGGGACGGGCGCGGCGAGACTGGTGGCGAGGAGCGACAGCATTGTTCGTGGCGAGGGCTTGGTTGGAGCCGGATAAGGACGATTGGCGTATTACGCTTGCTGGGGCTTGCTTCTTGGTTTGGTCCTTTAGGAGCGCTGTGGGGGACAGTCGCGGCGATTTATCCTCCTTCCCGTTGTTTGGGTCAATTTCAAGCCCTCCCCCCTGACCCCTCCCAGCAGTCACGTCTGTTTGTGTTAATAAATAAGCGTGGTGTCTCCTCTTTCTACTTACTCCCTCCCCTCCCCCTGCCTCCTCCCGCACCCCCTCCCTTTCCTGCCCCCCCCCCCCCCCCACACCCTCCTCCCATTGTGATGAACTCCCAAAAAAGACGCCCCCCTGGCTGTGTCGCCACCCCCCACCCCCCAGGGTTCCA